GTATAATCTTCCGTATGATCACATTATAAGGCTCACACAAACAGATACCGTGGGTATTATACGGTGTAGTTCGACTCAGGCATTTATGTCAATTAAGAATGGTTTCAACTGTCCTGACAAAGGCTATTCCCCGATCTGAGAGGATGTAAGATGGTACACCGAAAATTAAGAATAAGGAACAAAGATATATCATAGATTCAGTTGAAACATCAAGGTAGAGGAAAGAAAATGAACAGGGAGTGTTCGTCGATCATCGTTATAAAATATCTATTTCAAATTTTACTTGACCCCTTGAAATCTAAGTCTTTCGAAGGGTGCGTGGCTTTCACGAGAGTTTCTGATTTGAGTTTGTAGAACCGAGGTTTGATCATCGACCACATTTTATAATTGTTCGCAAACCTATTAAGATCCTCGACGGAGAACGTTAAACTTCGACTACGCCCACGTGCGGCATTCTAGCGATACCTGAGTGAGAAAGAATATGTAGCTTCAGGTGATCATCAGTGTCCTTTACTGACCCAAATTCCCTTGAGAAGATGTCAGCTTCCGCATTTTCCTTGTCAGGACGATAGACGACGTCAAATGAAAAACAGAAAAGCTCAATTCTCCATCCGGCTATTTATTCATTTTTTATTTGGCTTGTCGTCTTGTTCATAAATGTTACAGATTTCTGATCTGTGACTAGTCAAAAGTGGCGGCCGACCCATTAATATAGCCATTTATTTAGGGCCTCCACAATGGCATAAATCATTTTCTATCATTGAAAATCTTCTGGAGAAGAATGTTTATGAGAAGGCCGCTTTGTTTCAGCTAGAACATTCGGGGGCATCTGTTTCTGTTACTGTCAAATAAAGTTTTCCATTGATATCAACTATTAGTAAGTCTCAGCTTTCGGACTTCAGATACTTGTCCATAATTACTTTGAATAAATTGTAAAGAAAATAAACAAACCTTTTAAACTTGTAATGAAGCTTTATTCAATTCATCACTTTTTATAAAAAGGACATTCGAAGATGAGACAACTATTGTTGGACGTAGGACACGTACTAGCGTGATAATGAAGTCGATAATTTCAGGTTTTATGTAAGATGCAGATTGTCACTGGACCATGCGTAATAAGCTGGTCGTAAGCTGTTGTCAGGTCTAGTTTTATTCTTATAAACTCATACCGAGCTTGTTCCACTGTCAATATTTTGAAGTCGCAAGCCCGAGACTTGTATAACCATGCATATTTCCGAGTCTCGTATAATAGTGAATTTTTCCGTGCATATTGCCAAGATTGTATAATGAGTGTATTGCTTAGACTCGTAAAATCATGAACATTGCCGAGATTAGTACAACCGTGCATATTAACGAGACTTGTATTACCGCGGATATTGCCGATTTGTTCAACCGTGAATGTTACCGAGAATTGTATCAATGTGAATGTTATTGTTGTGAGACCGTAACATACCTACAACATGGACTCTTCCAGGACTATATAAAGTATGCGATATAATACTCTAGGAGAAGAGGAGGAGGGGAGAGAGAGAGAGAGAGAGAGTATTCTAATACCGTAGTATCAGCCGCGTACGACTACCAATATTGAACACTAGCACATAGTAAGCTCCGCTTACACTTACACTATCTTTGTAACCTTTTTGTTTAATATATCTTTCTTACCTCTAATCCGTGTTCCGTGTTTTCCTTCCGTGGTCCCAACTTTCGGCCCACATCAGTTATTGAGACTTGTGAAATCCCAAAAGTGTATAAAGATGCATCTTGTCGATACATGAATAACCGAGCATATTGCCGTGCACAAATGTTTAACCGTGAATGTTACTAAAGTTTGTATAACCGGTGCATATGGCATGGAGTAGCAGAAGTTTGCATTTTCCGAGATTCATATAATTTGTGAATATTGCTGAGACTTTTATAAACAAGGCATATGTTGACGACACATTGTATAATCGAGCATATTTACGGCAGACGTATAATCGTGAATGTTACTGAGATGTGTATTACCGTGCATACTGCCGTCACTTGTATAACCGAGACTCGTATATGTTCCCGTGATTTGTATAACTGTAAATATTGCTGTGACTTGTATTACCATGCTCATTGCTGAAACTCTAATAAATATGAAGGTTGGCGAGACTTGTATAACTGCACATGTTGCCGTGGTTTGAGTGAAAATCCGACACTCGTATAATCGTTAATGTTGCCGGCACATGTATAACCAATCATATTTCGAAGACTCGTATAATCATGATGGTTGCCAAAATGTGTATTACCGTGCATATTGGTGAGACTTGTAAAACGAAGCATTTTGCCGAGACTCGTATAATAGTACCTGTTCTCGAGACTTGTATAAGCTTACATATTGTCGGAAGTTGTAGAATCGTCAATGTTACTGAGTTGTGTACAGCCGTTCATATTTCCGAAACTTGTATAACCGTTGCCGAGACAATATTTGCCTGGCTTTTATAACCGTGTACTTTGCTGAAAGCTTTGCAATTGTATATATTGACAAAACCTGTATAAGTGTGAACGTTGCCGAGATTTGTATAACAGAACCTATTGCTGAGGCATTTATACTCGTGAGTATAGTTGAGAATGGCATAAGCGTGCACATCCTAGGGACTTCTTCAACATTCGAAATCAGTGGTAAACCCAATTGTTCCGTTTTTTCTCTATTCAACTTTTTATTATCTTCAATAATACGTTTCTCTTTTTTCTTTTTTTCTCAATTTTCTGCACGTGATATTTCTTTCTTTTATTAATAGCTTTTGATATCAGACATCTGTGACTTGCATAATCAGATCTTTGAAGAATCCTTGTTGCATCCATTTTTTAAGGAAAAAATAGGTTATTTTGACTTACAACCTATTACTTTTGTTTTAATATTTGTGAATTACTTTCGAATTCAGAGTTTTATTTCTCTGAGATTGGTTGCCATCTAAAAACACAGTTTACTTTATAGCTTTCGTTTGTGCGAAAGTAATGGCAACAGACTTGTCCTGACTTTGAACTCGGCTCGCTGTTTTCATTTTCCGTGCTTATATCCGTTTCATCACGTCATATCCATTTTCTTCTTTTTCAATTCTACACTTTAAATTTTTATAAACTCCTTTTTGACAGATAACTTTTCAATATATCTTTTCCTTTATAATGGACAGCGGATCGGATTGAGGAATCGGATTGGGAAAGGTATGAATCCTCTTCTTCTTCCACCAGTATGGGTGAATAGCAGGACAGACCGGGTTCTATAGCCTTGAGTTGCAAACTGGTCTACCGCTGAAAAAAATGGCAACTTACGTCGGGAAAAAAAATCTGCCTTGTATCGAAAGATACATGATCGCCTACGCGTGTATCACGCATGGCACATAACTGGTTGATTTCCTCAAGGTTATTTTGTCTCTATTCTTACACGATCTTTCATTTGCTTTTTGCTTTTTCCCATTACAATTCTGCTTTTTTTCATTTTTCCCGTTTTTATCATTTTAGTGCTATTGAGTCTGCATTATTTATAACCCGTATGTCACGCATCATTGAAGCACCTTATTCAGCCAAATGCCGCTTTACAACATTGCTTATTCACATTTCCAAATAAAAAATAAAAAAAATAAAATAAAAAAATGGAACTGACAGTAGAAGCAAACTCCAACAGTTCAATGATTTGTTCAATAAAGTCCAGGAAGACGGCGTAGTACTTAACGGAAGCAGACAAAACAAAGCAATACTGTTTTACATATCCGGTAACAATATTTATTGATCTTGAGTATTTATGTCTTTATTATCGCTTACTTTGGCTTGTAATATACAAAATGAGCAACAAAGCCACCATTTGAACTGTTATATTTAGGCGTAAACCAGCAACAATGTCAACAAAATTTGTATTCATGAACTCAGCAGGGATTTTCCGACAAGAAAATGTACATTTCGAAAGTGTCACGTTAACAAATTACGCAAGTTTATTTTAAACAGTTATATTTTCTGTTCACACATGTAATTATTTTTCATTTCAATCTTTGTCTTATTACAATTTAAGGTTTGATTAAAAACTTAATTGTAATTTAATTTGTATGATAATCCGACCGAATGGTAAGTATATAAAAAAATTATATAGATATTACAATAGAAAGAGAGAGAGAGAGATTACGTTACTTACATATTAAAATAGATCGATAGAGAAATAGATAGATACTACCTTATTATATGGGTATTGCCTTACGTAGAAAATAGATAGATAGATAGATATGACATTACTCAGATATTACTATAGAGAGATAGATATTACCTTACGTTGATAGTTATATAGTTAGATAGACAGATATTACCATACATAGATACATATTGCTTTACTTAGATGAATTGCTAGATAGATATTACCTTACTTATATTTTCCGATTTCTTTTTGAATTTGTGGATCTGATGAATTGGATCGTGATTACGATTCCAATGTAATAAATTATAACCATGAAATATTAGTGTTTGAGCCTTTTATATTATATTACATTATATTATATTATATATATACAATGTTGTTCGATAAAAAAATCAGGTGAGTCACTTTTATCGAACAGAACTGTATGTATATATATATATATATATATATTACCTTACTCAGATAGATATTGTCTTACTAGATATATACATATGACTTTACTGAGATAGATATTAAAATACATAGGTATTACCTTAATTAGAGAGATAGATATATATTACGATAGATAGATGTTACCTTAATTAGATAAATAAATAGATATATATTATCTTACATACATATTACGATAGATAAACAGATAGATGGATATTACCTTACATAGATAGATATTAGTATAGATAGTTAGATACACACACACACATATATACACACATAGATAGATATGAGATAGATATTACCTAACAGATATATTCTATAGAGAGATAGATAAATAGATAGACATTAGGTTACTTAGATATTACAATAGAAAGATACATAGATAGATAGTACCTTCCTTAGATACATAATTATTGTCTTAGATAGATAGATAGATAGATAGATAGATAGATAGATAGATAGACAAATAGATAGATAAGACCTTACTTAGATATTGCTATAGATGGATAGAAATTAACTTACATAGACATTACTAATTATATATAGATATTACCTCTAGATAGTTAAATAGATAGATATATATTACCTTACTTACTTAGATAGATATTAACTTACTTGTAGATAGATATAACTATAGATAGAGAGATAGATACATACATACATAAATTTTACTTTACTTAGATAAATAGATTGTTATAGATAGATATTAATTTATTTAGAAAGATATGTAGTTAGGTATTAATTTACGTAGATAAATAAACAGATATCTTACATAGGTATATATATAGATAGTACCTTACTTAGCTTGATATTACTATATATAGATAGAGAAATGGCTAGATAATATCTTAATTAGATAATTATATAGATAGATATAACATTATTTATATACATATTTTTATAAAGCGATCGATGAATAGATATATATTACGTTACTTCAGCAGAGAGATAGATACATAGATGGATAGATAGATGGATAGACAGATAGATAGATGTGACTTTACTTAGATATTATGTTACATAGATATTACGTTACATAGAGAGGTATTACTATAGATATAAACATATTACCTATGGATAGCTAGGTAGATATTACATATATAGTAATATAGATATCATTTAGATATATAAATATTATTATAGATAAATAGTTATTACCTAACTAACTTATATATATATATATATATATATATATATATATATATATATATATATATATGTGTGTGTGTGTGTGTAGATAGATAAATAAAAATTACCTCACTCAGATATTACCTTAATTTTATAGATATTAGGACAGATAGATAGATATATCGACATTATCTTACTTAGACAGAGAGATAAATAGATATTACCATACTTAGATACATAGATATTCCATAGATATATAGATATTATTTTAGAGAGATAGATATTACCTTCGTTAGATAGATATATTATATTACCTTCTATAGATAGATTGACAGACAGACAGTCAGATAGATAGAAGATAGATAGATAGATTAATCGATCGATAGATATTACCCTAATGAGATAGACAGATAGATCTATCGATATTACATTACGTAGATATATATTACTATACTTATATAGATAGATATATATTACCTTACTTCAGTAGATACATAGATAATTACCTTATGTCGATATATAAATGTTACCTTAGATAGATATTACTATAGAAATATATATATATATATATATATATATATATATATATATATATATATATATATATACATATATATAAATAGATAGATCTATCTATCTATCTTATATATCTATCTATCTATCTATCTATCTATCTATCTATCTATCCCTACATATATCATATCTATCTATACCTTATTTGATACATTGATAGATATATATTACCTTAGATAGATCGATCGATAGATACATATTACTTTATGTAAATGGATATATAGATATTACTTTACTTAGATATTACTAAATATATAGATAGATAGATAGACAGACAGATAGATAAATAGATAGATAGATTGATATTAGCTTAGATAGGTAGATAGATAAAGAAATATTACCCTACTTAGATAAATACATAGATTGATAGTTTGATAGATAGATATGACATTACCCAGATATATATTATACTATTGTTCATAATAAAACTGAGTGCATGTGATTTAGACAATAAATTTTGTTTTCATAAAATTTAAGGATGTTTTTATCATGATATGCTCTTTTTTTAACGATTTCATGAAGGTACCTAGATCAAAATGCAACTTTCACTTATGCATTTTCATATCATTGAAACTTGGCTGTGACCACCCATTTTAGGATAAATAGAAAACTACCATTTACTACTAATAGATAACTATAAAGTCACTGACAACGATTTCTCATGTACTCCGTTATTTTGGTTTCGATATTGTACTAAGTTAAATGAAATACTCAATATACAAAACATATCGTATTGTACGCTACTATATCTAATCTGGTTTGCAAATAACACTTGGCATTAGTTAATTTCCAGATGTCTTGAAAACGTATATATTGGCAATGGAAATTTGTGTAAATACTCTACAGTAGCGAAAGTGTTCAGTCATAATTTTAAAATACAACATATTTTATAATAATTTTATTTAAGTAAGCTTTAAGTAAGCTTTTATTCTAGAATAATCAATGACTTGTTTTAACGAGTTAACTAAGTAGTAACTAAGTAACTCAGTAGATGGTCATATATAAACAAATATCGTTTTTATTTGACTTAATGACACTTCCATTAAGTGCTTGTTAGAATTATAAGTACACACGCTAATTATTGTTAATGTTTTTTAAACACGGGACAGACAGAGTAAGATGAGAGTTTAAAAACGGAATAAGTGTGTTCGGACCACATTGGCCGCTAGCCAATGATTTGCTATTGTTATTCGTTCATCGTCTACGGTAGACATTTGTCTATTTATTTTGATTCTTTGCTATTCTCCCTACTGACTTCTTTCAGACGAGCCGAAGACGATAATTGCTCTTTACAGTTCATCATATTCCGCCGCTATATACGACTGAACAGTGAAAATTCCACGACGCAGTTTCTACAAATAGATTACTGCTTTTAGCAAAATCAAAAAGTTATATATTTAGGCAGTAAATTACTTTTTATGCATGTTTGGTTCAATGTGACAAAGAATTTAATTTTCTCTTTTCTTATGTTCTTACAAATTCTGTTTTTTTTTTCGAACTGAGCGCGAATAGAAATTGTCCATAGTGTTGTTTTTTTCTCGAGCACTTTTGGATAATACTTTAGCCGTTTTCCCAAATCACGTTGAAACACCGGTGTCCGTACGATCGCCAAAATTAAGCAATATCGAGCCTGGTCAGTATCTAAATGGGTGACCGCTTGGGAATACCAAGTGCTATAAGCTTGAATGCGCGGGTGGTGTAATGAATAATGGCTCAGAATTAGAAATCAGAGAGCGGAGTTCCAGACAAGTTCTTTATAGTCACTTACCTGCAAATGCAATTGGGAAAGGTATTCACCTCTTCTGATCAATTCACTTCTTCTGATCAATTCACCTCTTCTGATAACTATGCTAATTAACAGGACTTGTTTCAGTAAATCATTATTATTTCCAAAAATTATTACAATTTAAAAAAAAAGCAATCTGGCTTTAAAACAACATTTAAAGAGATTTTAGGAGATTTTATATATATATATATATATATATATATATATATATATATATATATATATGTGTGTGTGTGTGTGTGTGTGTGTGTGTGTGTAAATTAGTATTTTAATTATTTTGGATTGGGATTGATTTATGTGTTATACGTATATACATATATAAAATATATATACATATAAAAAAAATCTTCTCCCCATTTTCGTTTTTAAGCATTGAACTGCATCACGTCACGTCTATGAACTTGCGTGACTTTTCCGCTAACTTGATGAATATTCATGAGCATACCATAGAAGTTTGAAAAAAACAAAACAATATTTTTGTTCTTATATTTAAATACTTGTCACAAAATAAAATCCTTACATTTGCCTTCATAAAGTCCCTCAGAGGACGAAACACATCGGCTAAGATAAGTTTTCCTATTATCTTTATTCATATCGTACTTTTAAAGATATACTATATCTGAAACTTTTACACACACACACACACACACACACATATATATATATATGTCTGTGTGTGTAATTAAAGATATATATTATTTTGTTAAATTCATGGGAGAATAGTGCTCAATATTGGAGATAGGACGTTTGTAGATAGTATGGCGACAAGAATCGATACTGCATGGTTACAGTCAGTTTCGTGCTTCAAGTGATCTGCAGACTATATCCGTATTGGTTAGAAATCATGAACAGATTAAGTTATTGAATATAAACTCTTACTTAAACCCTTCCCCTAAAACATAGTTGATGAGTCTACATAACTCCTGACTCCACTTTGTTAAACGCTAATGATACTAATTTTTTCGATGTTGCAATAAAATTGTTCAGTTCACCTTTGCTTTACATACCTGGAAGTAGTTTTCACGAAGGTTGTAGATGTGATTCGGGAAACTATATTTACTTGAAGATATTTTTTTCTTGAGCGCATATCCCGCCGATGTTTTTCCAAATCTACAAACATCTATTGCTTTTAGGATTTATCCTTCTTTTTCATTGTTGGGAAAAACTCAATTCTCTGTTATAATTAAAAGTATGTTTGTCTAATCAGAAAACATACAGCATACTCGACAATGTAAATTTATCAACTGTTGTGCTCTGGGGGAGGCTTACGGCCATATCACTTTGAAACACTGATTCCCGCACGTCCCTGAATTTAATCAACGTCGAGCCTTGTTAGTACCTAGATGAGTGACCGCTTAGGTGTTGCAAGTTTGGATGTGCGGATGGTGTAATCGATAACAGCTCGGAAATGGAAATCGGAGAGCAGAGTTCTAATTCCAGTCGGGGTCGTCACTTACAAGCAAATATCCGCAGGAAAGGTATGAACCGACCTGTTTTTTCATTTGATTGGGGAAAACCTTAATCAGAAAAAAATGAATATGTCCTATATGGAACTATATTGGAAGTCATCTGATAGAGTTGACACCTTTGTTGAACAGGTGCCATATTGTTAAGTGAACTGACTTGTTTATATATCTACATATACATATATACTTTTCTATTTATCTACATATATACTTTTCTATATATCTATATATACATATATACTTGTTTATATATCTACATATACACTTATTTTTAAATTTTATATTAATTATAAGGAACACCAAATTGAATTAAAAAACCCACAAAATACAAACGATGAAAATATATTTTTTATTATTTACTTTGGCATTTTCGAAAGATATCTTGATATATTTTTAAAGGTGACTTGATTAAAAAACCTAAGAGTCTAAAATTCCCTCAGACTCCTTACTGCCACTGATTGGCATAGTCGCGTAATATTAAAGTTTATATGGATAATATTTGGTGGGGTGGGGGATTAAAGTAATTTTTACAAGACAGTAAGTGTTCCTCTGCCTGTTCAAAATGGCGAAATCAAGACCTTCTTTTGTTTCCAAATTTCGTTCTGAGTTTACTGCTTTTATGGGTTTGACAAATCAAGAGCTTTCTTTTATTGTTTAAATACATTTATTTCTAACGTATATATGCAAAATAAGTAAAATAGAAATAATGTCCTTGATGCAGGGAAAAGCCCTATATAGGTTTTTTAGGAAACCCATTATATAAATGTTCTAAAATAACATTGTTTTGGTTATTATCCTTTTCTTAGCTAAAATTTTCAAAATTAATTCCCTAAACTAAAACCCCAACAAAGATACATGGTCATGCTGCCTAAAAGTAACAAGCGATGCTACTGTCCTCCGCTTCCATTAATCCTAGTAATCGTAAAATACAGATTTAGAGATAAAGAGAGAAAAAGGTAAATCTTGCGAGACTGAATGCAACCAATAAATAACACTGAACTATACAGAAAACAATTTATAACAAACAAATAATTACAAAGAAGTATACACGTGTAGTTGGTGTATAAAATGTCCATAACTGAAATATACAATTCTATGAGTCAGGAATTCCTACAGTGACGAACCGATTAAAGAATGTCAAACCTCGTGACCAATGTCAGTAGGGAGGACAAAGAGGAAGAAAGGAGCTTACTGTTACTTTTTATACGAGCCCGCGATCGATTCTCATTGCTTCCCCGTAACGTCTATTTTTGGCTACAGAAATTAACATGGCATGCAGATTGTCATTTCCGATAAACTTGAATACTTTCACCATCTGATGACTTATATAATAAAAAGGATTGATTGTTTGTGCTAACGAGGATTGAGTGTTAGTTTCTCGAGGATCGAACTCAGACGACAGAGACCCATTTCCTAATGGAAAAGACATGATTACCATTATTGATGACTATCAGAAGAAACTTAAATAATTGTGATACTGAGTAGTACAAAAAAGAAGAAATTATAATTCGTAGTGTGTGATGAACCGTTCACATGTTAATGACAAAGAAAATCGGGGACTATCGATTGAATGAAGAATATTTTTATTTTATTTTTTTCTTAATAGAAGCATATTTGAAACTGCAATTATTATTACCCACACAAGATTATTTTCCCACTCAATAAGTGTCCCCGGCAGTAGTGGCTTACTCTGGTCAAGTAGCAGCAGCAAGTCTCATAAATATTCCAGTATACGTCTTAGTCTTTATTCTTGTTTGTTTTCATCGTTTGATGTTTTGTCGCTAGCTTGACTTGAAGCGATTAAAGGAAGTAGTCATATCATGTAAACAAAATGGCCTTTCTAAGTTGACTGATTTGATGTAAATTGGTACTGGTATTTCTGATTCGACTGACTGACTATTGAAAAGTCGGTTTGTAACATTTATGAGTTTTGTTTTATTTAATTTGCTTCAAGTCAACTGTAATAAGTAACAAGATATATTTCCATATCACATGACCTCTTCTCTATGACGCCTGTGTCAATTTCTATTTTTAATATTTTCCTTTTGAGACTATCGAATTGTCTGATCTTCTTTACTTTTACCAAACAAACCAACCAACCGTGACTATCGTCTAACACTGAATGCTTCGTGAGGGAATATGACATACAGGGTTGTATCAAAAATACTTTTACAAACTTTGGGGAGTGTCCATCACACTAAAACAAGGACAAAGTCCATACAAACATATGTTCACAAATCCTTCGTTTTTGACTCATTAGGTTTAAAGGAATTTTACGGTAGATGGCGCTGTGTTGCCATAGAGATTATATTTGTAATTCGTGTACATCTGTGGCTAGTTTGACTTCAACGTTTAACGTGTGTAGTAGTGAATTAACTGAGTAGTGAGTGTTCCGTTTAACAATGGCAGAATATTCATATCGTGAGCAGGCAGATATAATTTTTACATACGGCCGCGTAATTGATAATGGATGCGTGGCTGCACGGCCGTATCAGATTGTATTTCTAGACTGAAGGTAACCGAGTCATCCAACATTTGCTGCTGTTTATCATCGCGTTGCTGAGACAGGATCCGGAGAATCACAAACTATGGATCGAGGAACGCTCGTACACCTAACCATGAATTACTCATTGTAAATGGCCTTATGGAAATATGTTTATGCGAACATTTTACCTTGTTTTGATGTCAGGAACTCGCCCTCAACATTTGTAAAAGTATTTTGATATACCCTATATATAAACACACACACATATATACACACACACACACACACACACACACACACACACACATATGTATATATAAACTAAAAGTGGGCGATTAAAATGCCTATGTAACGTATTTCGTCTTTAAAAAGAATTTATTTAGACGGAATGTTATTATTGATGTAATCAATGAAATGTGAATGAAAATACAAACGTTGGTTGCAACTAAACATCAATAGAAAGGCTGAAAATAGAGATCTACTTTGTTTCTAATTTTCATCAACAACCTTCGCCAAGTTATCCTTACTCAATTCGGTATCTATGCTGATGACAACTATTTACTCATGTGTTAATGGTAACCTGATATATATATATATAAAGAATGGCTTGTTAATTTTAGCCAAAACAAAACTGCCCTCTTTTAACTGTTTTAGAGAACCATTTTTTTTTCATTCCATCATAATTGATTCTAACCTTCTCGGGCTAAGTTCGAAGAATTATATTGAATCAATTCCTATGTTGTTTCGCTGTGTCTCGCCAGACATTTTTTTTTCATTTCTGACACATTTATAAGTCTATCATTTCTCCATGCATGTCCCATTTGGTCTTGTGTTTCTTCTGTGTATTTAGAGATTTTTATAAAATCTTAAGAAGAATCAGCAACTCAAATCTCAACTTCAGTCACTTTCCAACGGTCGTAACGAAACTTTCCTGTGCTTTTTCTATAAATATTTCCATGGTAATTATTGTGATGAACTTTCCTCTTTGTTACCTCGACTTTACGAAGTTAATTACAGTACTACATTGGTAGTTACGTCTCATAATTTAAAAGTTGGAATTGTTAGATCTAACCATAAGTTCTATGTTAACAGTTTCTTCTCCTTTTGCAAATCTCTTCAGATTTCTTGCTTTCCAGTCAATTTTGATCTTCAAAAATTGAAATGAAATGTCAATCGTTATCATCTGTCTCCTTGAATCCATTTTTGTTCTCTCTTTAACTTTTTTTTCAGACTCTTTCGGTAACCCCTTGCGTCTTATTGGCTTCATTCCCTTGCTTTGGGTGAAATGATAAAACAATCTCTGAACTTGATATAAAACTTGTACCAACAACTGCTAAAACAATAAAAGGTTTAACAAAATAACTTAAAACCTAAATAAGTTATTTACAGTATAGACTGTAAAAAAATCACAAAAATACGTGGGTGACATTTTCTATGCATTTAAAAAAAATACAAAAAAAAAGAATTTATTACCTCGAAAATATATAGCAAGTGTATTAATTTCTGAGTCTTCAACAGTAAATTTTCGTTCAAGTTGGTGTAACATTTTACATTTAACAAATCTTCTATTACTACAATGTGGAATATTTAAAGAACTCAATGATAAGAAAAAACCGTTTGGATATTGATTAAAGCTGTATTTCTCGAGACGTCAGAATCCAGAAATTATTAAGTATATTATGAAGCGCGTTATATTTTACAGATCAGTGATTATAAACGGACGTTTAGATTAGTTTAGAAATTTACATATATTAGACAAAAGAACAAAGTAACATATTAGAAATATTCAGAATAAAAACATATTTACTTATAGATAAGACATAAGATGCAACAAAAAAGTTTCGAACCTGGAGTGAATTGAACAAGAGAAACACCTGCAAAGAAAACTAAAAAATAGCATTTATTTTGGTAAGTAGATTACTATTTTTATTAAGAAGATTGTGTAGATAAGTCGTCATGGGAACTTGTCATTCGATGCGGTATAAGTAGATGCCACCAGGTTAAAGTTAATCGTACGTAATACTGTAAAACAAATTTAGAAAGACCTGGAAAATTCATTAATGCCTTTCTTAGAATTTTTATTTTTACGAAAAAGTTTTGGGTTGGAGTCAGCGGTTCATTCCTATAGGCGTCAGACAACTATCAACAGCCTAGGTCGCCTTAGTCGTCGTCGATTTTAGTCTCCAACACTTTTGTAGATGAAGACAGATAGACATTCATGTGTATTGTGTATATCTAAAACGTATCATTTCCCTATCTCGCAAGAAAATATATCAGTGGGTCATTCCGTATCAACTGAACCAAATTTTCTGAGGTTCTCATCGACAATATGTCAAGATTTTTATGACGTTTTAGTATATCGTACCTCTTACATTATTGCGTAATGTATGCCCATTGTAAGTCACAAGAACTAAAAATGCCTGGACTGTAGGGAGGGTGAGGGAGTGTTTTGATATCTATCACCCTTGATGTCAACAACGTTTCTTTCTTTCTGTTCATCACTGAGCACTCTGGAAACAAACTTTGCACAAATGTTGCGAATGTTCAGCTCTTCATCAATAATTCTGTCTACAATTTTTGTTATTCTAGACTGAATGAGACGGAACCCTATGAAGACTACTTGTTATCGCTGACTAGTTTTCAGAAGACTTTTTGGAAGCTCGCTATACAATCAAGTTTTATGTTAAACTGGGAAAAAACGCTAAACTTATTAAATGATCCAGATTGCTTATGAATTAACTTGTATGAGCCGAGCCGAGCTATAAGCAGTCTGGATCATTTAATAAGTTTAGCGTTTTTGCCCAACACAAAACTTTCAAATAGTCTTCTGAAAACTAGTAGTGTTCAAAGGGTTGTTACAACCGACTCCTTCAGTCTGGAATAACAAAACTGTTAGGTCAGCTTATTAGATGTATAGTAAAATTACAATAATCTAGGACTGCTTCTCTTTAAAAAGTCTCAAAATTTCTGGAATGCAACTCGTATTTCATCTATTTCCTTTTTCCGTCAAAAGAAAAGTTTGCGATTTTGTCTTTGGTTTTGAGTTTTTATTTCTTTCGATATTTTTAATATTTTTGTTTTAATTTCCAGAATAATCTTTGTGCAAAAAAATACTCGTTTTTATTTTCTCAATCGCTTTTATCTACTTTTTCAGTCTTTGTTCGTCGTGTGGCACCTTGCATTATTAGAAATATTCATAGAAATATGATTTAATTTTTTCTTACTCGGTTTACTAAACAGGT